TTTTTTTTTTTTTGAAAGATTATGATGAATGTGAAGAAAGATTGATTTTATTAAAACTGAAACAATGAAAAAAATGAAAGCTAAGCTTAAACGCTTGTTTTTTTGATACTTTTGTTACTTAGTGAGTCTCAAGGAAGTCAATAAATACTTCATATTTTTTTCCTAGAGCAATCATGTAGCTCGTACATGTCTGGCTAAAAAGATAGGAATCTTTAATTTTCAGAAACAATATACTCGGGGCTGAAAAATTTCACCCAATATCGGTTACTGTATTCAGCAATCACATCGAAATTTCATTTCTACTTTTTTTAAAGCTTTGATTTTACTGTGTGTAAGAAGTTTTTTTTTGAGAGTAATGGAATACCTTCCAATGAGAATGCAGCGGATGATTCCGAGGTTTGTCGGCCACATGATCCAAATCCCATTTGGAACGCCGAAATCGCAGATGACTTTTCAATTTTGGAATGACCACTTCAAAGTTGTTGCCGTGTCCTTGGAGCCAACGCAGTAGATTGAAATCGGTGTCATAATAAGGCGTCAGCTGAACAACGCATTTTTGACACTGTATTCTCTAATTTGTGAACATATTTCCCCTCTTTCAAGAAAGAGTACATACCTCGCTCTTGACGGCTTCGCGCAGTTTCTCAATGTTCGCTTTGTCTTCCTTTGATAAACAATGCGCCTTCATACTGAATACCCTTCTGTAATCGAAGCTAATAATGAAATGTTGGAAGCCTCGCTTTACGAAATTACGCCAACGATAGGGTAAATAATCGTTTGGAAAGGCTTCTAAAAGAATTGCACTAAAATTTAGTGCCTGACGAAGACCAGCTGTGGTGCTAGAATAAAATGTATGCAGGTTAATGAACCGAGACTTCCTTACTTTAACTGGTAGTATTATCACATATATGTGCACAAGTATTTCTAATTCTATATTCGATTTACTTATTTACTTTTATTTATTTGCATGCGTACGTAATGGGAACTTCGAGAAAAAAAGCGTAGGCAAATAATTCAAGGCAAAAACATTTGTTGCAAATATTTAAGCAACCCTTGCAGTCGAATTTATGTGATAACATCTTGAGAAAAAAAGGCATTGCAACTTATCATTTAAAGAATCACTTTGTTTACGTGTGATCGGGCTGTCGCGGAACCTGGAACAGTGAAAAATGTTACAGCAGTTGAGCTGCTCGTGTTCGCTTCCATAACCGCTTCTCATTAGTTTCGACCACAACAAGAGCTCGTAGCACAGAAAAACAACTGAATGAATTGCTTTTCTTATATTCGAAAAAAAGTATTTCCCAGTTCACTAAGATAAAAGAATATGCCAAAATACAAATAATCTATTGCCAATATGTTATCGAACAGAAAGCTTGAGAAAGAAAGAAGCGAGTAAAGCGCAACTTTACGGCTTTCAATGCGACGGCCTTACATTCCTCGAATTCATAGGATTTAATCAAACAAAGCTGCTAAGCGTTTCTACGAAATTCCTCTTTGAAAAAAAAAAATGTTATCGCTCACAGATTTCCGTAGGCAAACGGCAGCTTTTCACAAAAAAAAAAGTTGGTCAGAAAGAGGAACTAAAAAGAGCAGACGGCAGTATTAGCCTGCCTGGCCTACTGTTTTAAGGTTGACCTCCCTGCTTCTAAAAAAAAAAAAACAAACAAACAGGAGCTGCACTGATAAGAAAATAACGTTTTTGGCCTGCTGCGCATAATTTTTAATCAAACAAACAGCTTAAGGAAGCATTTCTCGCATTTTTTTTTATGCAGACGCTAATGCCGTTTCCCGAGCTACTCTGGAAAAGGCCTTGCATCTTCAAACAGATTTATCTGTTCACGCAAAGGCAAAATGTTGCTACGCGGGTGATTTAGAGTCTGCGGCTGGCTTATAGCATTCACATCACAGCGGTTTTTATTTGCATACGACTGTAAAATCAATAATTACTAATTATGCGTTTTTGCATATATGCAAATGTAAAAACGCATATTGTGACCACCCCGGCTTGTGTGTTATGTGTGTGTGTGTCTGTATGTGTGTGTATGTGTCCGGGTATTTCAATTCTGCAACCGAGCTAGCTTCGGCGCTGAAATTTTTCCTGGCCAGGTGCCACTCCAGGACCGCGGTGTCAACCCTCGTGCACGTATGGGCTTCGCGTATGAGCGTGTGAAAGTTTTAGCGGGAAAATCGCCAACTCGAAAACCAGAAAAGCTAGAAAGCTAGAATTTTTGGGAATATTTCCCCTCCACACAGTAAAAATTTCAAATTCTGCCTCCAGGTGTTCGTAGTTTTCAAGTATGGCTCCGTAAAAGTTTTTGGCAGGAAAATCACTAACTCAGAAACCAGAAGAAGCAGAAGTCTGAAATTTTAAGCGGGTGTTCCCAGCCCACGTACAGCTTAAAGGTTTCAAATTGAGGCTCCAAGACTAAGAGTGCGTGGTTCTCGTGTACGGCCCTGTGAAAATTTTTGGATAGAAAATTGGTAACTCAGGAGCCAAAAAAGCTAGAAAGCTGAAATTTGAGTAGATGTTCGCTGACCAAGTACCACATATGCACAATTAACTTCCTCGTGTGATCGCACGGGAGCACCCGATGCGTGTCGCCTATGATTTTCATTTGTTTGAAGTGCCATGGGCGTCCTTGGAATTGATGAGAATCGCAACTTTTGGGGTTCCTATAAGGGTAAGCAAGAGAGGAGGAGGAGGTGCAGTAGCCGGAATTCGATGAAAATCGACACTCCATGCAGAATCAAATGCAGTGAAGAAAGGATACAGATTAAAAAAAAAGGGCCAAACATATCCAGGAACATCTATTGCAGGTGCACCGCTCGTGTTTTGCAGCTGCGTTTTCTGGAAGCCTTGGGGTTTGAATTGGATTTCGCTCTGTTAAATAGCTGCACCAAACAGGAGCTAAGCTCGGTAAGTTGACGCGGGTGCATAGTGGTTGAATGCTCAGGCACACACAAGAACTGGCTGCACCTTGCCAGAGCGATTATCATCAATCCAGAACCAGAAATTTGGATTGCTTTCTTTGTACTGATGTTTTAATCTCAGCCTTCATCCCGACACCAAACCAGTAAATAGCGGAGGAGGAAGGATTGGATGAGAAATTGTAGGCTAATTCTGTTCACTTTCCAGTGAATTAAAACGATAAAATTCAAAGTCCGGCGTCCTTTGAAAACTTGAAATTAGTCCGAATTTCAGTCTAGGATCTTGCGTTAAGATACAGTGGATTATGAAAACTGATTCCAAGCGATTCTACCAGTTTCATCGGATGGACTAATTTTCTAATCTTTTTTTTTTTTTTTT